TCTGCTCGTGTTTATTAGCGGAATTCACATCAAATGTTGATTAATTGGGTAGGAAAACAGTTTGACACGGCATTTGTGACCAGCGTACACCTTCCGGTCATATGCATCAGGTCAAAAACGGTCCGAATTCGCCCAAATTTTTGTTTTGAATTTCTGTATGGCAAAATAGTGAACTTTTCGTGAACATTAACGGCAAAGAACTCACCGTGAGTTCCTGCCCACCTGTCATAAAAACTACAAGGGACAGCCCTGATGTCCTAACGATCGTATAACGCGAAGGAGCTCGGGATTGAACCCACGGTCTTCTGCTCAGTAAGCAAAAACGTTTGCCACTAGGCAGACGAGTTCCTTTTTAATCATTGACGAATCTTGAATGTGGATGGGCTTGAGATTAGACTCATGATGTTCTGCTCAGTAAGCAAAAACGGTTGCTCTAAGGCCACCGAGCCTCTCATATCACATTATAGCGTTACTCAAGTTTTTATAACTATTCAAACCCGGCACCGACGACAACGAAAAGTTTTACAAAATACACGATGAACAAGCGATATTTTAATATTTTTAATATGAAAGGATCTGGGACCACGTTTTTTTTCTCAGTAAGCAAGCCACTGCAACCGATGATCTTTGAAATCCTAAAACTAAAAGCTACGAAAGAGTACTTAGGCCTTCATTAAGATCTACTTTCACACGACGTTCAATGTTTCGATTTTCTCTTTACGCATGGTTCAGACAATCATAACAAGCTTTGACCGACGTGACGATTGTTTAAGACCTGGTTAAACAAGCTATTCAAATGAAATTACGTTCTCGAATTTCACTTGGAATGTAATGAACAACAGAAATACGCGATAATTCATATTTTCAGCGGTTGATGTTTAATTTTAAATATACCAACGGTACTGCCTACGACTACGACGGCGATTACGACAGCGACTACGACGGCGCCTACGACAACGACAACAGAGAATTTGTAACTTACCATTTGTCTAGGATAAACACCTTTGCCCGGCACCTCCACTGGTTCTTCATGTCCGCTATCTGTCACTGTTTTCAAAATAACTAATAGCAATTACCTTTGTTGTGATACTTCCTGTATTGCCATGGTGATCTGGGAGGAGGTTCGCATCTAGTGCTTTCCCCAGGAACCGTTCACGGCCACCAGCTACCGCCCGTCCAGTCTTGGGCATATCCAGCGAGACATCCTTCAGCTAACTCACAATCTCCGACACTCAATGCAAATCGCAGGCACACTTACGCTAGTTACAAAAAAAAACACAGTTCACTCTCCCTCTCTCTTGAGGAGTTTTTGTTTACTTCATCCACATTCCTGCCGCCACTCACTCGAGGTGAGGGCGGGCTAAACTCACAGGACAAGAGTGTTTTAAAACCCTCCGTGAGTTTGAGGAGTCTTAGCAAGCCTGGTCCTCAACCATGGATTTTGCAACAAAGCAGGCAAGCAATATATCGTAATGCTTCTACAACTCCGATCAAGCTATATTACATACAGAGTTTATCGTGGTAGTAGCAGCAAGCGTTTCGTCTTTATCATTGGTTGCTTTATGTGTTTGGATTCGCTGCACGTAATTTGTTTAATGTGTCTTCCATTCACATATTTATCTATAAAAAAGTAAAGGAAACGGGACTCAACGCATATGAAACAAATTGAAAGAGCTGTGATAGAGTGTTGATGAAAGGGATTGAAAGCCATTATGAGGTTTCGTTTCAACTCGATAATCGACAATATTTTATTTGAAAGAGGTGAGATGCTCACCTCTTTCAATTAACATCAGCAACTGTAGGAGAAAATGCACAGCCTGCCTTTCGTTCTAAGCGTGCTTCTTATTCATTTTCGTTTCGTGTTAATAGTCAAGCTAGGCGTTATAGAAATGATGTGTTAAACACGTTGTCTGAAAAAAAAAACTCTAGTTCATTTGAGAGCATCGAAAATGTGGAGCCCTTGTGTCAGGATCAAAGATGTAAATCTTTGATTCTGGAAATGTGAATACACTTCATATATCCATTTGATGTGCGAATGTGTTCATGTGGGGCTTGTTGTGTATGGAAATGGCCTCAGAATGTGCGCAGGCATTCTTGAAGTGGGTCATTGGATTTACAGTAGAGCTATCAGCTTACATCTCCATGGCTAATTTTTATTGCATCCATCGATAAAAACAGTTTTATCATGAAATAAGGTGCAGACAGGTTTATTCCATAAAAACACTCCTGGCCAGTGGGAGGCACCATGCACACAATTGTTTTGTGTGAAAGAGGATACTAAAATAGAATGTATTTTTCTACCGACTGTTTCGCCTTAGCCTTCTTTTGCTGTCAGTGCTGCCAGTTTCGGTGAGTAAAGGTGACACTGTTTTCGGATTTAAACAACTGTCAATCCATTTAATCTGTGCTATAATTTCAATTCGTGTTTTCCACCCCATCTATAAATTGATACTTCCAGTATGACTAATTCATTTTCATCAGCACAAGGCTTTTGTGTCGAAAAGCAGCCAAAACAGAACCATTCCCTCTGGCCTTCCTAGTTTACTTCACACCACAGGCAAATGCACCCCGGAATAAAAAAATCCCATAATTTCGCAACATTCAGGTTGAGGTTAAATAATGTGAATCTTTAATCGGGTTGCACATCTGTAGAAAATTAGATTCCACCCAAAACTTGTCGTGTGTTCGCAGGAGAAGGAGTGCCGAACTTTTGCGTGTATGTTTTCTTTGTGCTTTGCTGACGGTTCGTAATGGCAATCAGCTGGCAAACTGCCAGCCACATTTATACACCGAACTTAACTACTCAACCATGGGCGGAATCGCACAAGGGCGCGTGCAAGTTTTCTGTGGGAAAATGTCTCTAGGGAAGTGGAACAAACTTTTCCAATGAAGAGTATGCTAGCTCTTTATTGGGGAAAATTCACTCCGCTTGTTCTGGGTTGGGTTTTATTTTCCTGAAATACTAAACTCTACAGCTGAATAGATTCTTACTATGACAAGTACCAGGGGTGCCAGGTTTGTTCATAGTAAATCTTCACTGAGATCGATCGACGAAATATCTTCACCGTTACTATTAAAAGACAGTGGGAAAGGATGTACAATATTTATGATTGACAAAACGGAGTCTTTACATACATAGGGCAATAAGTTGAAGCTAAGACAACAGCATTTGATTTCAGAGAACTTTGTAAAACTTCGGAGAACTTCGATAAAGTTCAGGAACCTCGTAGATCTTCGTGAATCTTAGTAGAACTTTAGGAAACTTCGAAGAAGTACAGGGAACTGCATAAGTTCAGGAAACGTTCTAGAAGTGCAGCAAATTTTGCAGAAGTTTTTGCAAACTTCATAGAACCTCAGTGAACTTCGTCGAAGGGCAGATAATTTAGTAGAAGTTCTGATATTTTCTATCAAACTTCACCAAACTATGAAGAAATTTAGTGAAGTTTATATAAATTTAGCGAATTTCGTAGAAATTCGAGGAACTTCATTGAAGCTCAGAGATTTTTATATAACTTAAGGGAACTTCGTCAAACTTCAGTGAGTTCGTAGATGTGCATGTGACAAATTTTTGGAATTTATACTCAAAATTATCACAAGAAAGCTACCGCGTATATTTTTTCACTGAAAGACTTTTCTTTTCTATACTACAATTTATTGAAAAATTGACCACTTTGTCAAGCAGTTTTGACGTGACTTTCTACCAGCGATTTCACAAAACTGGACCAACTAATTTCTATTTTTTTTTATGAAACGCTCAAATGTTGGCTACTTTTCTCTAGAAGAAAAAATCTCAACATAATGTTTTATTTCAAGTTCCAGTGGTAGTAAACGTCATTTTAAGTGCTCGAATGAAGTGGTTAATTACAATGACGCCATTTTGATTGACCATACATAACACACAATCAGGGTGCCTTCCATTCATTTTGGCGAAAAACATGTTTTATGAAATTACGGAATAATAAGATATTATGATAATATTTTGTATGTGTAAGTAACAAGAAAAGATTGTAAAGTTTATGTTTGACACACAAAACATGAAAATTTAGCTTCAAAAGAGTCACAATGAGCGATTTTCTGACCGCCTCTTCGCGAAGAGTGAAGAGCGAAGAGTGGGTGAGATGAATTACAAAATCGCTTATTGCGACGCTAATGTAGCAAAATTGGCTGGTATTATGCGTTAGACACTGTACAAGCCAGTTGGCTGTAATTGCTGGACCGAAGGTTTTTCTTCGCCGTCGAAACGGCTGCCAAAAGGGCCAGTAGAATGGCTACACTACTTGCACTTATTTTGCTATCTTCGCTCTTTCACTAGAGCGCAAGACTAGCACACATCGATCGCGCACCGTTGGAGGAATTGAAATCTTCTGCTTTCCCACTTTGCACTAAAGTCGCGGACAAGCACTAAAACCTACTTTCGGACCTAGGATAAAGAAATTTGTATTTCGTTTTGTCACGCACAATCGACCGTGTATTCACGCTGTGAGTTGGGTTTGGACTGATTGTTTTTATCGTGTTGTTCACTGACCTCTCATCGATCGGGTGATCAAGTGTAATGCTTGTGTACGGACACTGGTATTCGTTATTACTCTCTCTCTCTCATCTTATAAGTATATAAGCCGTAGCTTTAGGGTAGGTTTGACAATCTTTAACTTAAATATATATAGTTTAGATTTAGGATTACGGTAAGGCCTCAACATTCCGGCCACCTTTGAAATAGACCTATCATTTCAACACTAATACTTGTTCACTAAATCACTTTAATTATGCATCTTCTCTTGCTAGTGGTATCTGCGTCGCCTGAGAGGATTGTTTGCTCGACTCTCTGTTCAATCGGTTGATCTTAACAGCGGCGATGCAGTATATAGATAGTGCGTTGACCTCGTTGTCGTCAGCCGAAAACAAAAAGAAGACCAGGTAGATCATACGGGTAGATTAGATTTATTGGAATGGTAATTACCTGGTTTCTACTGACATGAGCCTCGAGCCAGTTTGGTACTGCTTTAATGGTCTCCGACTGTTGCATCGGACTGATCGTTGGGTACGGGTCGCACGACGTTGTCCGAGGAGGCAGTCTTCAGCGTGACCACTCTGACGATCCCGTCTTTCCCAGGATGGACCTTCACAATTTTGCCGAGGGACCATTGAGCGGGTGGTAGGCAATCGTCCTTGATCACGGCAAGCCGTCCGATCTCGATTTTGCTAGGTGATTTGCAGCCTTGAACAGCCCTGGATTGCAGCTGCTGGAGGTATGCCGGGTACCAACGTGCCCAGATTCGTTGGAGGTGGCGCTGAGTTTGTTCCCAATGGTTGAGCCGGTTTTCGGGAATGTTGACCAATGTTGCTTCGGGAACGGATTGGAGGTTGGAACCTACCAGGAAGTGACCGGGTGTCAGGGCTTCCAGGTCCGATGGTTCTGAGGACAGGGGCGTTAATGGTGGTGAATTGAGGCACATCTCAACCTGCGGTAGTAAGGTGAGCATGTCCTCATAGGCAAGATTCGTATTGCCAATTTCTTCACCGCAGCCTCCCAGAGGCCTCCAAAATGAGGCGCACGTGGCGGAATGAACTTCCACCGGATCTCGTGGTTTGTGCACCAGGAAAGGATATGATTTCGGTCAGTGGCATCCTGCTTCAGCATTTGGTACACTCGATGCAAGGCGTGTGAAGCTCCTTTGAAGGTCGTGGCGTTATCGGAGTGCAGCTCGGTAATCTTCCCCCTTCGAGCTATTAAGCGACGCAGTGCGGCGACGAATGCGGCAGACGTAAGATCGCTCACAAGCTCAATGTGGACGGATCGTGTGGAAAAGCAGATGAAAATTGCCACATACACCTTTGTTGGACCCCGCTTCCGGACTGCCGACTTGACATAGAACGGCCCACAGTAGTCTACGCCACAGACGGAGAAAGGACGCGTCGGAGTGACACGGGATGCTGGTAGATCTGCTACAGTTTGCAGAATCAATTTCGGCTTGCTACGGAAGCAAGTGATGCATTGATGGTACGTGCGTCTGACGAGGTTTCGTCCGCCCAGAATCCAAAATTTCTGGCGGAGGGTAGCCAACATCAATTGCGGGCCAGCGTGAAGCAAGGTTTTGTGACAGTGCACAGCGAGCATACTGGCTAACGGATGTTTGGCGCTTAGGATGATAGGGTTCTTGGTAGACTCAGGTAGTTCGGCATTGTCGAGGCGTCCTCCGACGTGGATCAATCCGAATTCATCAACGTAGGGCTTCAACCACTTCAACGAACTCGATTTCGTTACGTTTGTACGAGCGACAAGATCGTTCCGCTCTTCTTGGAAGTTATCCAGCTGCGCTAGTCGACAAAGGACTCGGTCAGCCGAGTGGAGTTCATCGGAGTTGAGTGGCTGGCATGAATCAGTTGACCTTTTGAGCACACCTGGATTGATTGCATTCGAACGACGAAGAATTGCATGGTCACGAAGAGCTTGCAGAAATCGCAACCACCATGCGACCGTACGGCGAAGCTTGGAAAAGCTGGAGTATTTGGAGAACAAATCTTCGTGGAATGTGCTTTGGATGGCCGTCATCGCTACGATGGGAATCTTGCGGCATTCTTGGGACACTTCTGCTGTTTCTTTCGTAGGGAGCGCTCCTGCAGGCCAAAGCTCAGGTGGAACCTTTAACCAGGATGGACCATTCCACCACCTTGCCTTGTGGAGAAGTTCGGTTGGATCCAATCCTCTGGAGATGTCATCAGCGGGATTGTCGGAACCAGCTACGTGATTCCACTTATCAACTGGAGTAGCAGCTTGGATTTGGCTCACACGGTTGGCTACAAACGTTTTCCAACGTCCAGGTGATGATCGGAGCCACTGTATCACGGTGGTCGAGTCCGACCAGAAGAAAGCAGTTGGAACCGTTTGCAAGGACGAAGCGACTTTCTTGTACAGGTGCGTGGAAAGATGAGCTGCGCATAACTCCAGTCGGGCTATCATATGGCGTGCTGCTAGGGGCGAAACCTTGGACTTGGAGACCAGCAGTTTCACGGATACTTCTTGGATAGATTGGGCACGAACATAGCAACACGTTCCGTAGGCCTTGTCTGACGCATCAGCGAAGAAATGAAGCTCGATGCTGACTGCACCAATGATGGAAGCAAATCGAGGAACTCGAACTTCACGAAGCAGGTCGATGGTAGTGTGGAACTCTTTCCACTCTTGCTGCAGTTTTGGAGGCAAAGGTTGGTCCCAATCATAGCGTTCGTTGTCAGAGGATTTCAGCGCCAAGAGACACTGCATGAAGAGCTTCGCTTTCCTTACAGCGGGACCCACAAGTCCCAACGGATCGAAGATTTGAGCCACGTAGGACATGATCCTACGCTTGGTGAGAACAGCAGCCGGAAGAGGTAACTGTACCTTGAACCGAAATATGTCAGTCCCGGGTTCCCATATTAGACCGAGAGTGCTGACGGATTGTGGATATTGTAGGTCGTGCCATGGCTGGATAGATCGATCTTCTGGTGGAATATCTTCAAGGACTTCGACAGAGTTCGAAGCCCACTTCTTCATTGGGATTCCAGCAGAACCGAGCATCGCTGATACTTCACGTCGAATTTGGATGGCTGACTCGATATTATCGGCACCTGACAGAATGTCATCGACGTAAAAGTTCTTGGCCACTGGTTCCGCAGCGGCAGGGAATGAGTGACCTGCATCACTCGCCAATTTTTGGAGAGTTTTGGTGGCCAGATACGGGGCAGAAGCAGTGCCGTAGGTCACGGTCTGCAACTTGTAGGTAGCTATCGTTTCGGATGCATCCTTGCGCCATTTGATCCTGTGGTACGGTCGGTCTGCCTTGTGGAGAAGCATCTGACGGTACATCTTCTCGACGTCACCGTTGAGGGCAATGGGGTAGAAGCAAAACCGCATGACGAGCGACAGTAAATCGTCTTGAACGACTGGTCCGACAAGAAGTAGATCGTTCAACGAATAGCCCGATGCTGTCTTACACGATGCATCAAACACTACTCTCGTCTTCGTGGTGGTACTCGAGAGCTTGAACACGGGATGATGCGGAAGGTAGCAGTGCGGCATCGTGTTGTCCACAGGTTCATCGAGCCGTACCATGTGTCCGAGACGCTCGTATTCCGCCATGAACTGGTGGTAGGAGGATTTGGTGCTAGGATCACGCTCGAGTCGGCGTTCCAAGTTGAGGAATCGGCGTTCGGCAATGGATTCCGAATTTCCCAGAATGACTTCCGGATTGTCCGTGTTTGGTAGGCGAACTACGTATCGCCCGGTAGGATCTCGGGTTGTGGTTGTCATGTAGAGTTCTTCACAGGCCTTCTCGGTAGCGGAATGAACGGATTGGTTCGGAATCGTCTCAATCTCCCAAAACCTTTGGAGAGTGGCATCCAGAAGTGCATCAGTGCTAGACATTTGGCATACCATCATATTAGAGGAATCTTGAGAAGTTGAACAACAGAATGTCCAACCAAAGCATGTCTCGATGATGTGGGGTAAGCCTGGACCTAGATCGAGCTTCTTACCGGTGTGTAGGTCCCAATACGCTTCACCACCGATGACTAAGTCGTTCTTGTTGGGAATGTGGAACTCAGGATCAGCTAACTGCACGTTCGGAAGGTTCCATGAAGTAATCTGCACGTACATGGTGGGTAGATCAGCAGTGGGATGCTCGATCACGAGGAATGGAGTTTCGTGGAAAACGATCCGACTCTTGACTGGATTGTGGTGGCTACTGTACGCTTGATCTTCCGGAGGGATTGTCCGATTCCAGCTACGGACACATCAACCTTGGATTGGGAGCTGGAGAGCAGATTCGCAAGATCCTTAGACATAAAATGCGACATCAAAGCGGAATCCAGTAGAGCTCGGGCTTGGAAAACATGTCCGTGATCGTCGACGATTTGGAGAACGACTGTTTCAAGGAGAACCGTGCTGGCGTGGGACTGAACCGACATGCTTATTTGTTGGGATGAGGCAGACGGTCCTGGAGTAGCCAACATGGGTGGAACTTGTGCCGTTTCATGGGAATTAGACATCACGGCGGGGGTGGACGAACTCTTACCAGACTGGGATGAATCATGCAGCAACGTATGGTGCCGTTCTCGACAGGTTCGGCAGGAGAACTTCGAGGAGCAGTTTCTGGTTTGATGACCAGTTCGGAAGCAATTCCAACACAGCTTTCGTTGGGATACCAGCTCTCTCCGCTGGCTGACGGGCAATTTGGCGAAAACTTGACACTGAAAGAGGAAGTGTCGTTCGGAACAAGCGAAACAAGAAGGCAAGTTTGGCTTGCTATCAGATGCAGCAGCGTTGGCAGCGACCTTGGGTTGAATGTACTTCTTTGGAGGAGGAAAGTTGCCGGCCACCTTTGCTTGAACCGGCTGGGAGCGTTGCAGCAGATCGGATGCTACGGATTTCAGGATTCGTACACGCTGGTACAGGAATTCAACAAGGTCGTTGTACTTGACGTCGTCTTGCTGGCTGGTCTTTTCTTCCCACGCACGAAGAGTAGCTGGATCGAGCTTGTAGGACAGGATGTTTACGAAGGGGGTGTCCACATACTCGACAGGTTCATCCAACTTTGCCAGGGCCTTCACGTGCCGCTGGAAATCGTCCACGAGCTCGTGTAACTCGTTGGCGGATTCCCTTTTCAACGATGAGAAGTCGTGGATACTACGGAAAAGCTGCTTTTTCAAAAATCTACGATTATCATACCTTTTTAGCAGGGCATCCCACACGGCAGCGTAGTTATCGGCCTCGATGTCCACGCTCTCGAACGGCTTGCGTGCCTCGCCTACGAGTGACTGGATGAGGTATTGGAGTTTTGCCACGGTGGGAATATCCGCATTCGAATGCACCATCGACGTGAAGGTGTCTCGAAACGACAACCACTTCGAGAAATCCCCGTTAAACTTGGGGAGGTCAATCTGCGGAAGTCTAAGGTGGAATGTACCTGGATTGGCTGGTGCATGATGGATCGATGAGTTGAGTGCCACTTGGTTGGCATCTGCTGTTCGCTTGGACAGCAAGAAGCCTTTCGCCGAACAGTAACGTGCTTCGAAATTGGCTCGTTCCGTCAGGTGATCGTTCAGCTGTTCTTCGTCATCCAACCGTTCGACTTCACCTTGCGCTTCCAGGAATTCGTGGTACACTCTGTCCAGAGATTCAAGCCGCACGGGTATCTGGCATGAATCACGATCTTCTTGAAAGTCCTTCACAAACCTTTCAACGCCATCGCGATGCACGTACAGGCCTTTCTTCACGATTTCCAAATCAGTCAGCCTTTTTTCGATCTTCTTGTCCGGCATTTTGCACCGATCTAGTTCGAAACGATCACGAAAAACGGTTTCGAAATGCTCCTTCCCGACGCGGGCGATATCGAAATAATCCTTCCCGACGCGGACGAGTGCGAATTGCTCCTTCCCGACGCAATACACGGATTGCGTCGCGAATTCGCGGATCGGTGAAAACACTGTCACTATGGTCACTTTAACGTGTCGTTCGTATCTGCCTTGCCGCCAACAAGGCCAAAAAAAAATCAATAATCACTCTTCAATTTGTGCCGCACTACGGGCAAATTCTATTAGGCTATTTGCAGCACACTTCTCCTATCAAAGCAAGGCACAGCAACAATGCTTTGCTTGCCGGTGATCACACACTATTCTTCCTCGGGGGATCGTACAATGCCAGCAGCAATGGCTAACGGCTATTCAGTAGCCACACAAATGGAATCACACGTTTGACAGAAAAGTGGTTCATTTTCACCCCCGTATTGTCACCTCTTCTCTTAGCGAAGAACTAGTTCTTTAGAACCGCTCGTGAACGCAATGCCCATCTGTAATTTGAAATGCATCACAGCAGTCTGAAGGTAACTACGATTTGTCTTCGCCAGACCTACATCGATAGAAATCTCCTAATACCTTTTGGCAAATTTCTATTGCTGATTATTCATAAAATGTATAAGTCAACTAACAAGCAGACTCCTTGCAAAAAGTTAATGAAGATCATGTGTCAAATGAAAGGTATAAGCGGTCACACATAACTTTTATGCATTCTTGTAGGACCTATGTGGTTTGTCTTATGGAATGGCTGATGTTTTGACAAAAATGTATAGGTGAAACACATGGATAAAATAATTGATTTTCGTTTCGTGTAGGTTTAAAAAATTAATATCAAATTTTACGACGGAATGATCAACATAAACAACAATAAAAAATGAAAGTCCGCAACGAGCCCCCCACTCTTTATCTCTCTCCAAACAAGAGAGACGAGGGTGCCGCGTAGTCGACGGCTGAAAAGTTATTCTAAACTGTTCCCCTGGCTTGCAGAAGGAACAAAAGAAAGCTTTAAAGCTTTCTCCCTGCTTCGTTAATGCACTAGACGGGGCCGTTAATTAGCACTTGATGGCCATGCTCCGCTGCTCGTGCGTTCTCGCCCCGCGCTGTCAAAGAAAGTATAAAAGCATCAACGGCGTATAGAACCATCAACAACACCATTTCTCTCAAGAGCCTTTCACACCGGCAGACTACCGGCGATGGAGGCAACCCGAGAGTAGTCTATTAATAACATCCTTTCGACTTACTTCCCTAACGAGGTGATTTGCCATCTTTTTTCAACGTCGGTATTTTTTTCAGTGTCTTCACCGCTGGTCACTGGAAGAAGGGGGTCTCTTGATTGTCGGAGATAAAGATTAATAGGGGAGAAAATAGACCTTTATGTTTGTGCTTTCGACCTCCGAAAATAGCTGGAAAATTGCTACAAATTGAAAAGGGAGTAATTCCAGCAAGCACTTCATTTTTCATCACAGTCAGTTAGAATTGAGTCGAGTGATAAATTAGCTTGGGTGTCCTCGTTTTATGAGCAATTTTCCCGTCATCCCTGCCCGGAGTTCTCAACTCGCATTAGCATTCAAAGGCATGAGCTTGTTTAGCCGAGCTTCTTTACATAACATTTCGAAACTTGATATATGCTCTGAGCTGAGGAGACCATGTGTGCGTGCTGCCATGTTTATAATTAAGTTAATTTTGCGGAGAAAAATTCTGGGAGAGCAGCCACTTAATTAGCGCTAAGCACGAAAACAAATACACGCAGTCTCCGCGGTTAGTCTTGTGTACACTTGGGAAGTGGTTTTTTTTTCAGTGGTTTCTATGGTGGTGGGTGTGACTTATGTTATGGCGATTCCGTTTGTTTACAATCGTTGGTATGAGGTTACATAGTTGGTTTTGCATAATTTAAGGAGCAATTGGGGTTTGAACTGCGTAGGGTAAAGGCTCTTATACTGGAGGCGCTAGAATTATGCTGCTGTTTGATGTAAAGAATGAAAATTCGATCGAACCAGTTTCGTTTGCGTATACATAAATCAGATTTTCACAATTGCTTCGGCGAGTGTCGGTGAATATGGTGGGGTTCGAGTAGCGGTCAGGATTGGTATGGAGGAACTAGATCCCCTCAAAAAGGTCGACCTTACTAAAGAGGGTTTCGGATGGACCAGGAGGAATAAAACGATTAACAACGCGATTTACAAGAAGCGATAAAAAGGTTAATGTGTATTCTCTCGTGTTTTGTTTACAAGTGATGAAAAATGAATAATGAACACCAGCAAAAGAAACTACAGTGGTGTAGGAAAAAGAGGGGCACCAAAGGTGCAGTGGTTGCCATCTCAACACCCCTGCTCAACCACAGCATCGTCCTAGTCCTAGCAACGATCGTAGATGCTTGAATGGTGAGGGCGGAAGTCCCTTCGTCATAATATCAGCCTGTTGCTCTGATGTTCCGACGAATTTAATCTTCAGTACGCCCTGGTGTATCAAGTCCTTCAAAAAATGATATTTGGTGTCAACGTGTTTTAGTCTGCCATGATCACGACAGTCCTCGGCGATCCGAATGGTAGACTGATTGTCTTCATGAACCACTATCGGCTCATCGATCTTCTGGCCCAGATCCCGTAGCAAGCGTATCAGCCACAGCGTGTGACAAGCTGCTGTGCACAACGCCGACAACTCGGCCTCGGTCGATGATAATGACACGGTGTGCTGCTTCCGTGTTATCCAGCTTATAGTGCAACCGAACAACTTGAAGATGCAACCGGTTACGGAACGACGATCAACCAAATCGTTAGCCCAATCTGAATCCGAATATACTTTCAACACTGGCGAACACTCATCATCCCGGAAGATCAGTCCAACATCCAGAGTCTCCTTGACGTATCTTAACATCCGTTTGAGGTGAACCCAATGATTCTCGTTCGGACAAGACTGGAACTGACTAAAGTAGTTCACGGCTGCTGAAAGATCCGGTCTCGTCGTTAGCGAAGCGTACATTAAGCAGCCAACGAGCTCGCGGTACGGCTTCGACGTCCTCTGTTCTTCGATTCCTCGCGTCAGCTTCAACCGATTCTCCAAAGGCGTGGATAT